ATTCATATGAAGATATCCTTTAAAATTCTATTTTCCGCAAATTGTGCGGTCCCTGCAACGTTGCATCAGCTGTCTGCAATAAATCTTTGAATAACTTTTTCATAAATGCCATCTTTCTTGTGAATGCTCTTAATTCTTTAGCAGACATGTTGAGTTTCTGGGCTTACTTGACAAACTTCACTTTGTTCACAAAAAACTTCACTTCGAAAAATCTTGTCTTTTAAAGTTTAAAATTAACTTCTAAACATAAAATAGACTTGAATTCACTTATCCGTCTCGTCGGACCAAATGTTCTTTTGCAAATTATTCGTGTATGTTCATATTTTTAAACAATTTTTAAAGTATAGACTTCTCAAACTTTTCATAACAAAAAACTAAAAACTAGCTTATTTAACAAAGATTAGAATAAAGGGACTTCAGAACACAGTAATTGAGTCAAGTCTGTAACAGTTTATGCAGTGAGATATTTTAATTGATTATACTTTGTTTTAATTATACATATAATATGCTTATTTGTATGCATATTAATAAGATTACACGTTGATAAGTTAAGTTAATAATGCATGAGATTAATGTCCATCTTTGGTAAAAATTACTCCCTATGTTCTAAGGCAGAAGTCTTACCCAGATTCGTTACTCTGAGGTACAAGTCTTGCACTTAAGGGACAAGTTTTACTTTTGGGCGTAGATTTACAGGGACAGATGCGCTATTTTGGGAGGTTGATTTGAATCTTGGATGTATGTAAATAGTCATCTCAGTCAGCGTGACGAATTTGGATGGTATAGAATGAGTCTTCATTATTCCCGATCGCCCAACTATAAATGGTTACAGATAATCCTTGAAATATCAATATCAAACTTGTTTGTCATCAGGCTTATAGCCAGAATTGATTGTTCGAAGGGGCAAGTAATATATCCTTTTGGGCAATTTGGTCTTTAGTAATAGGTCGATCATCCCCCCCCCCCCTCTCCTTACCTGTCGGTCATCCTGTCTGAAACTCTAATGCAATACGATTGCATCAAAAACGAGATATTAATGTTCAATAAAATTTTATTTCATATAGTAATAATATGATTCAAGACTCGCCGAGTTGTCATATCATATCTTTTATGATTAGTTTTGAATCAAGTTTCCAAAATGTTGAATGTATTCATCAACACTGAGCTGGGAATCTTGATTTTTGTCTGCTGCATCAAATAGAGCCATCACATCATCAACAGAACAGCTAACAGAGATGTTTGGACAAATGGTTTCTGGGGGAGTACTTCTCATTGGGAACATGTTGCGTACTTCTGATTCTTCCAAATTTTCATTCTTATTTTTGTCGGCTAATCTAAATTCCACCTGAAATTCTTCTCTACTCAAAATATTATCATCATTTTCATCTATTATCAAGAAATCTCTCTCAGCCTGGACAAAAGACTGTATCTTCATTACTGGTCCAGTTGTTTCATTCATCCTAGAAGAGTACATTGTCAAGAATTCTTGTAGATCTACCTTATTTCCGGTACCGGGAAGCGACTCAAACAGCAGTCTGATATCCTTATCATTAAGAACGTCGTCATTGTTTGAGTCCCATGATTGGAAAACCTCAATAGGAAATCTGGGTGTATCTGGGTTGGACTTTACCTCTTGATGTGTTATTTCACCGTCACCATTTAAATCATCTAATTGAATGTATTTCTGGCAATTATCGTACGTCAAAAAGTTGTCGTCATCAAAGTCGGCAATATAAAATTGTTTGCGAATCTCAAGTAAAGTCAAAACTCCCGCCTCGGTGTTGATGCTCGTCAGAATATCTGAAAAAAAATACTTAAGGTCACCTTACAATAGGAAAGTACAAGATAGCTTATAGGGTCGAACGACAGCCCTTTTGAACGTTCGTCAAATCAACCTTTGACCTAACCTTATAAACACCGCCCTGGAGAAGGTAGAAATTTGATTGAACGTTCAGGAGGGGTATTGTCAGACCCTTACTGAAGAATAACGAAAAAACGCAACGAAATTTTAATGAGACTGGCCAGGCAAGGTAACATACGCCCACTACTAGCTGACTAGCTGACTCAAATGATAACAAAGCTTTTAGTGACTTACAAATAAAGATATTTGTTCTCAATATATACTAACTAAATTTCATTAAGATGAAAACTATAGCCTCTGTCGTGTTGACCTACAAAAAATGTTGACGGACGGAAGGACGAAGCGACGGAAGGGGCGACGGCAATATACATAAAAATAGAGCGAATCTCTCCATCATTCACCAGGCCGCTATAAAAGATACTCGGTCTGGAGCAGGCCGCAATAAAATGTGACCATTTACATTACAGTAAACTCAAAGGTCTGAGAACGGTTCTTCAGTTGTAAGTGTAAATGGAAACTGTTCTCGGCACGGATGTATGTTAAACTCTTCTTGAAGAAGTTAAAATTAATCCTTCTAATCACCCTGATGTTGTCAATGTAATCAACAATTGCAGTGAATAATGACAAAATTCCGTAGGAGATGAAGGTTGCTTGTATGGCACGCATAGTAAAGCGTTCACGGAATTTATCACGTCCGTTCTGAGAACCGTTCCGAGATCACCTCGCCGAGGTGGGCCAGTATTGGAACAGTTTTCAGAACGCTCGACCGTTTACAACAGATCAAATTCATCCGTTCCGCCCTTGAGAATACTTCTAAGAACGGATAAATTTTGTAATGTAAGCCGGGTATTTTGATCGCGTTTGTTTAGAAAAAATTATATTACACAGATTCCCGAAGTGCACACCACCTTGTAACGTTATTAACAATGAAATTGGTTGCTTCAATGGAGGTTCATTTCAACACAAGCCTGGTTTTGAAAATCTTTAACATATCAAAAACCAAATTTGGTGTCCAAAGCTCAAAAACTAATGAGTCCATAAAGAATAAAAAGGTATTTTCTTTAATGTCCATGTGCCCCACACGGTACCAAAATACAGTTGGTGGCAGGCTTCATAGTTATAAAAAGGAGAAATCCTACTTCTCAATTGTATTGTGTTACCGTGTGGGACACAGGAACAAAGTAGAATATCCGGTAATGGTTCAGCTTTGTATAATTACCAATATTTATGCCAAATTTGGCTTTTAAAATTGTGAAAGCTTCCAAAAACGTACTACCCAAAATTGGGTCGGAAGTAGGCCCTAAAAAGTGACATTTTGACAAAACTGACCCTACCCATTCCTCAGATACGATATATCGGCACGTTTAAGGCGAGATTTGTCGGACTATGAACTGAGAAGAGATATACATTAAAAACACAAACAATACAGAATATATTTTACCTGAATACACCTGGTGTACAGCACAGAGATAAACTGAAAAATACAAGATTTATTTAGTGGTATGAATCGCTTTAATTGTTTTCGTCTGAACAAACATTCCATACTAGCACTCTTAACCCACCACTGTGGACATCAGATTAACAGGCTTCCATTACAAAACCAATATCATATCACTATATAGTCTGAAACTCCTGTCTCTATTCTAGCCTCAGATAGTCCCAGCTATCAGAAGCTGGAATAGAGGCAGATGTTTTGTTCTAATCTCTGTAGTAATTCAGATATATTATTATCTTACCACAAAATATAACAGCAACCCGGTTTACCATGTTGTCAGTATAACAGCTCGTTTAGTAGTAACTCAACTTTTGGTGGTAGTGGTAGATGACAAGTTAACGTCCGCTTCCAAATGAAGTCAACTTGTCTACAGCTCCAACCTTTATACCTTATATCCCTATACAACAACCAATAATAGCCTTCTGAGCTACCATTAAAAGAAAGTCTGATTAATTAAGTTTCGAGATAAGCAATTCCCTCATATTTTTTCATATGAATAAAACATATTTCATTATATTATCAATTACTTCATGCGGTTTGCCATCAATATGCTGACAAGAATAGTCTTCCGAGCTGCCATTAACAAAGAATTGAAAAATGAAATGAAATGAATGGGGTTTTACGTCCTACTTTTCTGCACCATGTGGTCTAGACGGGCAACGCCATGCAGGGTGCGATGAGGGAAATTTTGCCAGGACAGCGGCATTAGCCTGCTCTTTTTCGATTTCCAACTGTCGAGGGATCTTTAACGTGCACAGCCTGTAGCATACGGGGCCTCGGTTTTTTGTCCCATCCGAACGACTAGACGCTTTTTCCATGTCAGCCCCTCTTACCTGCATCATTGACAGGGGGAGACCGTGTTGAAAACAAAGAATTGAAGAATTGGGCGCCCTTGATTTTCCTACGCTGCTGGGGCAATTGCCATTTTCATTTTTAGGTGTTATCGGGTGTAGGAAAATATAAACACGTTAGATTAAATAGACAAATTAAACATAGATAAAAGAAAAAACACAGAACACAATAATGCTATAGTAATAAAGAGTGATCAAAAGCAACATCACAGTCAATACACCAGAATGTGAAATTAAAAACCAACAAAATTCAGAAAAGAACAAAACATTAACTTATAAAATTCCAAACAAACAATGGCTAATACACCGTTACAACAAAATAATTAACATTTCAAATAAAAGTTCTTTCTATTTTAAAAAATGCAACAACCGTCTCATAAAGATAAGGATGCACAAAGATCTAGCACCTGGTGCTGTTATCACAAAGACTCACAGACTTTTTGAGACTCTCGCTTGAATAGATAACAGTGGGATGAATTCGATTTTATTTTATGTATATAATGTCACTGTTTTATTTTGCACATGAATTATTTTTTAATATCTTTTCAATTTATCTTTACTACGTTTCTAATTTAAATATTTTTTAAGACAAAAGCAAAACGGCAGGGAAGAATATTGTAACATTCCATTGTTTTATGATTATATTAAATATATATCAAATTCACTAAGATTGTTAGTTCAATACTTGTAATTAAAGTGACACTGAGCTGAGAAACAGACAGATAGTAAATGATTAGCAGATCAATGGATTAAGGCTGACAGACTATGAACTTATTTGGATTTAATCCTGCCATTGACCAATAGGATCTTAGAGTTTTCCATGCATTATGGGAACCCTTACAGACCTTTGAAAACGCTAAAACATTCTACTAGTGTGTTACTGTTTAATTCATTAGTTCACAATATCAATAAACCTGAAAATAAAGACTTTTTTAATATCACATCGTGAGTGTGTGCCAGTCAGTAAGATAGCTATCTCAGACGCGATTATTCAAAGCTTTGGTTATCCAAGCAGCCATTATTCAAAGTTGTTGCTATCTCAGATGCCATTATTCAAAGTGGTGGCTATCTTAGCAACCATTATTTAAACTTGTAGTTATCAAGGCAGTCATTATTTAAATTGGTGGCTAAGCAGTCATTATTCAAAGCGGTGGCTATCTCAGACACCATTATTCAAAGTGGTTGCTATCTCAGACGCCATTTTTCAAAGTGGTGGCTATCTCACACGCCATTATTCACAGCGATAGCTATATCAGACGCCATTTCAAAGTGGTGGCTATCTCAAGGCAGCCATTATCTAACTTGGTGGCTATCTCAGGCGCCATTATTCAAAGTGGTAGCTATCTAAGTCGCCATTATTCAAAGTGGTGGCTATCTCAGACGCCAATATTCACAGCGGTGGCTATCTCAGACGCCATTTTCAAAGTGCTGGCTATCTAAGACGCCATTATTCAAAGTGCTGGCTATCTTAGCAGCCTGTATTCAAAGTTGTAGTTATCAAGGCAGCCATTATCTAACTTGGTGGCTATCTCCGACGCCATTATTCAAAGTGGTTGCTATCTCAGACGTCGGTATTCGAAGTGGCTGCTATCTCAGATGCCATTATTCAAAGTGGTTGCTATCTCAGACGTCAGTATTCGAAGTGGTTGCTATCTCAGATGCCATTATTCAAAGTGGTTGCTATCTCAGACGTCATTATTCAAAGTGGTTGCTATCTCAGACGCCATTATTCAAAGTGGTTGCTATTTCAGACGTCATTATTCAAAGTGGTTGCTATTTCAGACGCCATTTTTCAAAGTGGTGGCTATTTCAGACGCCATTATTAAAGTGGTTGCTATCTCAGACGCCATTATTCAAAGTTGTTGCTATCTCAGACGCCATTATTCAAAGTTGTTGCTATCTCAGACGCCATTATTCAAAGTGGTGGCTATCTTAGCAACCATTATTTAAAATTGTAGTTATCAAGGCAGTCATTATTTAAATTGGTGGCTAAGCAGTCATTATTCAAAGCGGTGGCTATCTCAGACGCCATTATTCAAAGTGGTGGCTATCTCAGACGCCATTTTTCAAAGTGGTGGCTATCTCACACGCCATTATTCACAGCGATAGCTATATCAGACGCCATTTTCAAAGTGGTGGCTATCTCAAGGCAGCTATTATCTAACTTGGTGGCTATCTCAGACGCCATTATTCAAAGTGGTGGCTATCTCAGACGCCATTATTCAAAGTGGTGGCTATCTCAGACGCCATTATTCAAAGTGGTAGCTATCTCAGTCGTCATTATTCAAAGTGGTGGCTATCTCAGACGCCACTATTCACAGCGGTGGCTATCTCAGGCGCCATTTTCAAAGTGCTGGCTATCTCAGACACCATTATTCAAAGTGGTGGCTATCTAAGCAGCCTTTATTCAAAGTTGTAGTTATCAAGGCAGCCATTATCTAACTTGGTGGCTATCTCAGACGCCATTATTCAAAGTGGTTGCTATCTCACACGCCATTATTCAAAGTGGTTGCTATCTCAGACGCCATTTTCAAAGTGGTGT